CGCAGATGGTACATGGCGCATGAGAATAGTTCTGTGGCAGTTAGGGAGAGTCTTGGGGACCTTTTCCCATTTGGCAACGCTGCACGCAGGGCAAGCCACAATCCCGCGTTCCGAGCGTATCACATTGTTCAATCGAGCCTCGACGCGGTGGTATTTTATTTGTTTCATTCCTTACACGCTCCTTGCCACACGGCGTGCCTCCTACCGGCCACATATATCACTTCAGTCTAACCTCCACAGTGCACACGCACGCAGCCGGAGTTGAGAGGGGTGGCTTTGGCTTAACGTTCTGCTGTGTGTCGGGAGACAATAGGGGGAGGAAGCGTATTTTTTTTTTTTTTTTATTTTATTTTTTAAATTCTTTTATTCACTGTCCCGCTGAAGAGGCCCTACAACCCATCGGAGACTCATGAATGCAAAATAATAAGCAGCATCTCCTACATAATGCGGGGTTGGCTGGCTGGCTGGGCTTCAAATCCCTCCTTTTGCCCCCCCCCATTTGCCTCACCCGTTGCTCCCAATTGCAGCCGCCAACACATCCAGTTACTTTTCCCTCTCTGCCCCTCCTTGCGCCTCTTAAATGAGCCGGTCCGTATACGGGGTTCCAACCCCTCTACAAATGTAAGTGTGACTGGTTGATCAATCAACCAAACAGCTTAAATATTGCCACACCGCAACTCAACTGGCAAAATGGAAATCATTGTAAACAGCCCACTTCACACCCGCTCCCTGCTGTTTACACCAATGACATTTGCATTTCCCTCCATTAAAAAAAATGCTTATGGATGTTCTGTTCATATATGCATATTACGCACAAGTGAAAAATAACTTTGCTCTTTCTCTCAATGGTTCGTTTCATTATCCATATCATTTTGGTCTTTGATTTAATGCTGGCTTCCTCTTGCTTTCTTGTATCTGTTTGCAAACAATAATGCTTCATCTCCTTTGCTCTATTTGTAGAGTCTTCTCTCACACTTTCCAATTCCCCCGCTTTCAATCAAGGTTTCCAATCAAACTGGATATTACGTATTTCTCCCGCTGAGGGGCATCTTTTTGGATTACACTCAATACTACTGCAACTATGCGCTAGTACGCACCGTTTTAATGACCATAGCCACCGGTCTTATTAATGTGTCCAAAATAACCCTTGGAGGAAAAGAATGGATCAATGAGATGGGACGGGCAGTCTTGCAAAAAAGTGGAGCGGACTAAATCTCCCAGTAACCATCCGCTGGGGACCACAGGTCAAACTCCCGGCCACCCCCTAAAGTATCAAGGGGCAGTATCCATGTTCGCTTGAATTTCATGATGTGATTGATACTGATGCTGACGCTGATGCTGAGGTGGATTGTTGGTGTTGGAGGTGTCGATGATAGCAGCGATGCCATGATGAAAAGACTGGAATTGCCGGATCTAATGCACATATATGGGGTATCGGGATATCTGTATGTGTGTACACAGAGTATCTCTGGATCAAAAGAGACAACGCTCGCTGTATTTTGTGCAAATAAGGGAGAAAGAATATCACGGAGTCATCCGCGTATAACTTACCACTTTCTTGGAGGTTCTTAATAATGGATGGTATTTCTGCTAACTCTACATTGGTTTTACCAGTTTACAGATTGGTCTCTTGGCGCCCCTTTTCCCCTTTCTTACTGTCAAGTTGTGCGAGTCCAGTTCGCCTCACGCCTAAAATAGCAAAAGATGGATAATGCATCTTCCAAGCTGCTGTTTCTGGAAAATGTGTTCCTGATTCGCGATACTGATGGGATTCTTCTTAAAGTCCTCAACCCACCAGCCACGAGGATCTGAGCCCCCTTTCTCAGACTATTGTACTCTGTGCTACACAATCCTAGCAACACAGGGATTCTCATGGCCCAAGTCTCGGCACTGTAAAATAACGTAAGACACTCTCGCGTCGTCTCACATGAGGCATCACATAATTTTGTAATGGGCATCAGAATTCTCATTTTTAGCATCAAGGATTTCATCATTCATCCCGCCGATCGTGATAGGCAGTTGACCAGAACAACCAGGACACATTTTGACTCTAAGCCTTCAGGCCGGCATATTATTGAGTTTACACCATCTCTCCCTGAGTTTCAACGATTCGATCGCTTCACGCCAGGAACCGAATGAAAATCTTCAACCTAGACTACATCCGTTGGAAATCTGCTCCCTATTGACCGACTTTCTTCTGCTAAATCTTCATTGTCAGCAGTAGCAGCGACGGCGGCGGCGGCGGCGGCGGCGGCGGCAGCAGCAGCAGCAGCACTGAAGCAAACTGGTGGTGGCCAATATCATCCCGCTACTGGAAGATCATTGGCATACAGCGACCTTGCACCAACCGCCTCACCTCGACCTCTGCCTTTATTGCTTGCTAGTTGCTGTTGTATATTATTTTTCAACATGCCGCCCCGCATATCCCACTTCCTCTTCTTCTTCTGCTTCTTCTTCTACGTACATCTCCTCAAAATGCGATGGTTAACGTTGGGCCCAGGCGATCGAAACCGCCACCCCACCAGACCGGACCAATATAAGAGAGAAATGACAATGCCATTGTAGATGGTTTTTGAAATTTTATAGTTTCCCAAATTCTCCTTCTCTAACTGAACCATAAGAAGTTAGATAAAGATAGACCCTCCAACGGTCCAATAATCCATCCACGGTTAGCATCATTTCATTTGGCAGGACGGAGATCTGCAACCCGCGAATAATAATAATATTATTATTACAACGCACACTCAAAAGAGTCAAATGTAAAAGAAGGTTTTGTTGTTCTACTCCCCCCTCGCTCCGGCCGGTTTTCCGTCCCTCCGTCCCTTCCTCCCTCCCGTCTGCCCGCCGAACCAGGATCTCTCGCCCAAGTTAGTTAGCTACGGCAAGGGTCAATCAATCCCGGCAACAATTGGAGAGGAGGACAAGTCTAGCAGTTTTATTCTACCCAGTTCAGGGGGACGTATATTGTTTCTATTAAAACCTCCCACCAAAACAGTCTGAAGTTGAAATCCCAGATGGATATTCTGCTCACAAACCTCTTCCCTCTCTAGATTATTTTTAACGTAATATCCGAGGAACACTAGAAGCAATCCTCCGCGGGGCAAGAACTGATCCATAACTGCGTAATGAATAATGGACGCCTCATGAACACACCGCATTAACATTAACTCCGACCGAAACCCCACCCTCGTGAGGTAGTATAACTACACTATCTTTCCGACTATCCAGGCACATCCGCACAATACATCAACTACAAGCCAGACGGGAATAAAGTTGCCGAACCTTCACCGCCTTGAGGATGGAATGCTCGTGCTATTGTTGACTTAATGAGATTTTGAAGAAAGAGATGAAAGAGGGAAGAAACGCGGATTAATGCGTCTATGGCTGACAGGACAAAACAATGATCCTCTTGACGGATTAGGATGCGTGAAAGAAGAAGAATATGACGAAAAGTAAACGGGTTTTGATGCGCCCACCATTAAGGTGATGCCAGTGGTGATCAAAAGACTGCATGAACTTTGCTCTTGGCGAGTCCAAACTGCATCACACAGCCTTGTGTAACTATCTGAAGTTTTATTCCCTCGAGAACTATCATCTCGCATTTCTGTTCTATCAGTTGTAGTCGATTCTCCTGTTTCTATTCGTTGGGTATTAATTGCGGACTTGAATAATCACATTCTTCTCACAATTGAACTTTCTTTCAATAAAAAAAAAAAAAAATCTGAAGTCACACAAAAATCTTTGAGATCAAACCCCACCAGCCCACCAGCCCACCAAGCACACCAAGCACACCAAGCCCACCAAGCCCACCAAGCCACCAAGCCCACCTCAAGGCTAGAGCCCAACAATGACCTTCACACAAACTTCAAGCTAACTAAACTACACTCAACTTCCAGCAGTAGTTGGGTTCCAACTCACCCGGCCCAAAACCCCACCGGCACCACTAAAGGATTCAGGAACAAGTTCCCCGGAAACCAGTCTTAGAAACTCGTTCAATGGATTGATTCCCTTCTCTGGGTCTCTGGGTTTTAACGGTAGTGAAAGCCGGCAGAGACTTTGTTCTGGACCATTTTTAATGTTGTCACTTTAAGCCCGTAACATGGCCTGTATTCCTTTGCCTAAGTTTAATCTTGGGCTTGAGGGCATTGGGAGGGGGGGGTAGTTTTAGTTATTTTGGTTGGCCATCATAGTCAAGAACAACCATGTGAATGGCGTTAACGGCTTGCGTGTCGTGTCGGACCAGAGATAATAAAGCGGTGGAGTGATACGAAGGAGAAGAAGATGGCCTTTATTTTATTTTATTTTATTTTTATTTTTTTAATCTTTTTTTCCCCTGTTAATATTTAATACATTCTGCTGTCAGATATTTTTCAGAGTTGTTTGAGAATGATGTTCACCCTATCTATTTCCGGGTGACGCTCTTCAAAAACCAGAAATGCAGAATTCTGAAGTCTTCTACAAATATATCCCTTCCGATATAACTCCCAGACTTGGTCAAATAACAAAGTTAAGATGCCTATACAGTCTACGGCTTGTCTGACCTTCAGCATTTAATCTCTCTTTTTACAAGACTCTTGGAAGCTGAAAAAAAGTCGTCGCGTAGAAAAGGAGAATGGAAAACAAAGTCCCCTGGTTGCCAGCTAATACCAATGGCCGGTCTCTCGCTTGGACGATGGCCAAACCAGAGTTGGAAAAGGATGAAAAGCTTTTAAGGCTTCATCTGTCCCTTCTTCTTAACTAAAATGCACTGCTCTTGCGATAGCAACAGAACTCCTTCTAACTATAAGCATGGAAAAAAGCAGAGGAACGTGAATCGTGCTTCTCAATGCTGGCCATGAATAGGTGATGTGAGAGGATCTCCTCTTCAAACAAATGGCTGAGGAACCAAAGAGACTCAATGAGTGATGAACAGTTCAAAACAGTCTTAAGAATATACCTCGAGATTCTGATAAATTAGAGCGAGAAAAATTGACACCATCGGACGGAGCTGCCCCTATTAGTGAACCGGGAAAATTCCCCTGGGCTTTGTCTCCTGTATGGAGCCCCATCCTGCTACCTCCACCATTTCATCAATCATAACCATCATGGCTCAGCTGTTGCGGTCTCATGGAAAGAAGCGTACCTAAGATTCATCTTAAACATTTATGTAGAAGCCTGGACCGGACCGGGGTTCAAAGCGCACGGGAATGCAAACGGAGTGACTGTGACTTACGACGAAGAGATATTAGATTGCTATCTTTAATGCCAAACAACCGTAGAGTTTTCTCTTATTTTAAGCTGGGAAAGTTTTAGGGCGCAAGAGTCCAACACCTCCTTTGAAGCGCGCTCTCCGGTGGCCTCCCTAAGAGTTTTCTAATCTGCACAAGACTCCAGAAAGCCTCGTTCTTCCTCGCGGTATATACAAAACTGGATAGTTGCAGTATTCGACCGAGGACGGGAAACCTCATTCTGGCCAGAGATTCAATCGAACCAGACCATACTTACCAAGGCATACTAACCACTTCGTTTGCATTGACGACACTCATCGTAGACTCTGAGAGAGTGAACTATGCCAGCGAAAAAAAAAAAAAAAAAAAAAAAAAGGCAGTATGAAGTAAGCAATCCAGAATCCAAAAAGCTTGCCTTGTGTCCACCGTGAAATTGTCAAATTTTGTGAAGAGGAGGTCATTTTGAATATCATTGTGCATTGTAAACTATCTCCCCTGCATAAAGACGTGGCTTATAAGCAGAGAGGGACATAAACCATCAATCCATGTATACCAAACAAAGGTATGCGGAATAGAAAACAGGATAACTTCCACATAAGATTCGTCGGTGTAGTTCCGGACGTGGTTATATGTCCCCGGGAACAAGATATTGTATTTGCTGTTGAAAAGAACTGTCCACCGGCAGAACGGCGGAAGAAGGAAAGGGCTGGTGGAGCGGGGCGGAGCGGAAAAGAACGACATTTCGTCAACGAATCAAAAAGCCAGCCGTGGTTATATCGGTTGAAACGCAAATCATCATCAAACCAACCACGTATGTTGACGGGTGGCTATCCTATTGCATGTACATATTTTCCATAATGATTTTTGTCAAACATGCATTCTCCAGCAACAGGATCATTATCGTGGCCTGGAATAGACTGCTGACTGAGGATCCATAAACTAAAGCCAGTTAATATAATGTTCTGGAAGTTCCTCTTCGATTAAACGTGAAAGTTACGATTGAGATTAGGTTCAGCCACAGGAACCCACTGTTTCAGATCCAGGGTAACAATACCCCTTTTCTCTGATTGCAACTCGTATTTGATATGCATCTCGACGCAACAGGCCAGAAGCAACAAACACCTACTCTTCCAATTAACAGGAAACGGCCTGCTTGGCCTATCACTCTATTCCAAAATCGCCTACCCCATACTTAAAGTTGAAAACATACCCCAGAAAGTAAGCGAGAGAGAATAGGGGCAGGGGCAAAGGAGGGGCAAGGGGAGGGGCAAGGGGAGGGGCAGGCTAAGATTTTCTCCGCTGAATCACGTCACATCGCAGAACACTTGCTGATACAGTAGTAGAAACTAAGGAAGCCATGAAAACTTTGAAATGCGGATAGGAAAGGGTCTATTTTCTTACTATGGTGAAATAACGTTTACCCCGAAAATCGCTCTCTTGCGGGGTTTAGTCTGGCTCGGGCTACCCAGCGAGCCTTTCGAGGGAATATACTATCTTTCCAAGTAATATCTTAGCGGTACCTGATCGCGCGTTTCCGGCTACAACTCGTGAACACAGGTTACCCGTTCTCAGTAGCTTCTCAGGAAGGGCAAGACATCGCATAGCCATACTATGTTCTCTCGGGTTTGTGGAGGCATTGGGTACAGATATTAAGTGGTGGTGATGTTATATTCTTAACTTTCGGTACAAGTTCTAATGAACACAGCATTCATAGAATATATGAGCAGTCTCCTAGCTAAATTTCACAATAACAGCGCAACAAGTTATTTTGCGATCTCGCACGTTCCTAAATGCCATCAACGGAGGATGATTGTCAAGAAGAACCTTCTCAGATTGATGTACAGAACATGCCATAGACATTCCCCCGCAAAGTTGTATCCTATTCACCTTTGTTACGTGTATACTGTTCTGTGAAGCCGTACGTATTGATTGGGTATGGATAGACACTAGCCTTATCTCCCTCAGTTGAGCGGTTGGCTAGCAACTTCTCATCATTCTATGATCATGGGATATTGACAAGCAAGAAGTTGGCCATTTAAGCTCTTCCGCGCGTTGCATTGATGTAGATTGCTCAATATCTCGTGCTGCAAGTGCTATATAATGTGAGTATTCTATTGACCTTCAATCTTATGTAAGGTATATGAAATAAATAAGATCGGTCGCTATAGGAAAGATTAACAACCCAGTCATCCAAGAGAGTGGAAGGTCTTCAGGGTTGGACTTCTGCATTGAAACCGGTTTCGAGAATAGTAAGGCCAGGTGTATGAGCTGTAAAAAGAAATTGCGCCATCCAAGGCTCATTGACATCTCTAATCAAGAACTCAAGCTAGCTTGATAGTATGATAAGTGGTCAAACGTAGAATATTTATCATTACTGATTCCAAATCCTGCATGACAGCTTCTAACAAAGAATGGTATCAAATCGGTGGTTTTTAGATGCTGATTTATCATGGGCTGACTATCAATATCAAGCCGTGGTGCCTTGATAAATTTCATAAGGTTTGGTTCACATTTGTAATCCTAAGACTGATTTTGACCATCCTCCTTGGATCATGATTTCTTGGATGCTGTGTTCCAGGGAGGGCTGTGTTCCTCTCATGCCGTTTTGGTCACTATGCTACGCAAGCAAATTTCAGTCCTCCAGAATGGGAGAGGATGTAGGCTGTTGTCTTGCAAACAGAGACTTATTTTTGCTACTCTGATTGAAGACCTCATTAAGCAAGCACTCAGCTAGACGTCAATAATGAATTAGACTCATCTCAATTCCACAAATCCAGTTTTGACTCCTACTAGCCAGGTGTTTCCCAATCAGATAAATCCGTCAACAACGCGATATGCGAGAGATATTTGTTTGACACTTTTTAGGTAGGAAGCTGGTCGAACCTTGAACTTCAGCTGCATTGACAACGGATTGGACACATAAACGTGCTTTCAACGTCAGTTTCCTAGAGGCAAGAGAAAGTGATGTATCTCTTTTCTGGAAGGGTTTCTACTCGAACATGATGGGTTTTGTGTTGAATGTGAGGGTGATTTTTTCAGACCTCTGTTTCGTGTTTCTGTGGATAATAATGGATGAGGTTGGGGATTCAGGGGTTGAGAATGCAAAATCAGTCACATGCGGCTGATGCCAGCTGCCAATCACTTCGAGCTCAACCACAGAAACAAATCAGTGAGAATGACAGATATAAAAACCATTTTTCTGCTGCGTTTTGTGACGAGACCTGTCCAAATCCTCCTTCACCGTCCCCATGGATTGCACCACCATGTCAGCTCTCGGGAGAGTGTAGTTAATGGATGGCTTCCATCTTCAGTTATTCATTTCTCAACTTTCCCTGTCCACCGCGTAATGAATGAAGAGTAAAAGAGGTACAAGCATGACGAGCATCAAACTCATAGCTCCAAAAATTTAATAACCATAGTAATGGACAATATAATGCCCCACCCAATCGACTTCCCGGACAGGGCTTGGCAGCCGTCTAAGCCGCTAGACCGATCTTCCTGGCCATAGAGTGCAGAGCTCTGGGTACAAGACGTATGGGAGAAATCTCATTCGCCATTCAGGAACCAAGGAACACTGCTTAGGCAGCCTGATGTTAGTGTGCAATGGTGCTGATGGTTCTTGAGGTATTCTATTACCACCGTATCGTTGTTCTCGGCACATGTGCAGAGAGAGGTTACATTTTTTGAGTTTTCCAAAGATTCGATGAATATGACGAGGATAAAGTGTTGAGATGAAGTTGAGTACCCTTGCTAAAGCAGTGAGGGAAGGGAAAGAAAATGCGAATTAGAGTAACAGAAAGGAAATGATAAAGGCAATGATGCAACGCTTTACGCACTGCCGATGCATCCCTGGAAAATTTATCGCAAACTTCTGGTGGCTGTGCTGCAGCGGGCGGGAAGATTCGACATACTTCTGTTCAAGGATTAAGGAGCCATCAACCAACTCCTGTGGATCATCGCCATATTTCCTCCCGAAAATGACGTGTGTCTACATATAACTGCACGCAAAGGACGGGAATCCTGAAATCTCGGCTAAGGAGTATTTGAGGACTACCCAGGATAATGGAGGACCGTTTGGGAGACAGATTGCTTAGTTTTATTGTCGCGGAGAAACTGCATACACGGACATTCACTCCTTTGAAATTCTGATATTCCCCGGGTATAAACGTTGTCACAGCCGAAGAATTCAAGGATGCAAGGGATGTCTACCTACCCGGAAAGCTTTCCCGGTCCTGGTTCTGGTTTTCACACCTAACGAAAACTGTTCAACAAACGCCCGGACAAACAAAAGCGGGCGACATTCACCGCCTCCTGCTCTAACAAGGGTTTCTGTCCTACGCATGGAGTCAGGATCAAACACAGGTACATCCTTTTGCGGATATTCGTATTATTATTCTCGGAGACCACAACCTATATACCATGTCCTCGGCAGCAGTATTCTGGTTATCAGCATGCAATTAGCCTCAGAAATGGATTTCGAATCCCAACTTTCCCTTGCAAAATCTCCGCAACATGCCAGCCATTGGCAGGTATCCACAATAGCTCCGAAGGGTGGGGCTTTAGGGGCGGGCGACACTTGAAGGTTGTGCATGGTTTTGATCGTAAAACCAGTTATTCAATGAATTCTCGCCACGAACTTTGCTCATATGTCAATTGTGGAGAAGTCGAAACGACATTTCAACTTATTTCCATCTGGGAAAATTCTTAAGCGATGATACTGTGCGTCGGGGTGGGAAGGTGTCATTTCTCAGGGGTGCCCGGCCTACATGCTGCGAAGAGAATCAAGATTTTTTGATGATGGTGGAGAATAGAGAGTGGACATGGGAATACAAACAAGCGCAAAAGGCCACAATCAATTGTGAGACTCACACTCCGCCATCCCATCTACCTACCCACGTCCGGAGTACTCCGTATTCATACGATAGATCCCTCGTATTCCGAGGAATATGTCTGCAATCGAGAAAGCACAAACGCACTCCCCCACCCCTAAAACCGAACGGGCATGATGCAACTCGGCTGTTCGATGCTTAATTCAAAAATTCGTATTAATCAGGAACTTTCTTTTGATCCAATCAGACCAGCGGCGCTGCACATCTGCCGTCTTGCATACCTGCATGCATGCGCTACGTCGTTGCGCAGTATGCTAAGTCGCCGTTGGAGACGTATATTTCGAGCTTTTCGACTCTCGAGTCCGAGGTCAACAACTCAACTGCTCAACGGGGTGCAGGCCCTTTAAGCACTGTTAAGTATACCTTGAATACAGGGCAACGTGCATAATAGTATATGTGGGAAGGGAAATGATGCAGGTTTCACGTAGCAATCCATGCCAATTTATCATCCATAGAAATTTAGTTGATTGATAAGACAGCTTACCTCTTTATTACGCAAATCAGTCTGTATATCTATTTCCGCACAGATGAAAAGAAATTCATCTTTCTTCCAACACCATGCGAACTTCCCCCTTCAAGTTTCCCAAGGGAGCGAGGATAATGAGCAGACATTCTGTGCGGAGTTATATGGTTTCTTTGCATGCATACACGTGTATGGGAATTTTGTGGATAACTGACAAAGTGTAGGGGGAGATATAAGAAATTATCCATTTGCTTTCTATCTAAACTCGCTTCTCCACGCTTCCCTCTCAATCAAAAAATGAATATTTGCTTAGCAGTTTCTTGTTTTGGCAGATGGCGGGGTTAAACTTTTGAATAGTCCAAAATGAGATAGAAGTGGACTCTTGTGTCCCTAGGTAATGAAGGTGAATAAACGCACAGATGAAAGGATGGAGAGTGTAAAGAATTTATTTGTGGGGGAGTATAGTAACTACGGTTAGGTGTTTACGCGATATACGGAGTATATCGGTTGTTTGATCGATGCTATGGGGTAGTAACCTTGGAGGGCTTGTTCCCTCCCCCTACCTGTTTCCATTGTTTTCTAAATCTTAGTCCCTCTAGCATTCCATGGAAGGTTTCATATGTGAATTCTCGGTGAAATGGCTCGTTTCATTTTACCCTTCGTGCACGTAGTATGATTGTGTGATTGAGGAGAGGGGAGGCGGGAGCGGGGTTCATACATCATACACACAGACACATAAATGTCTTTCTCGAGAGGGCAGACAATGTGAGATATATTAATTGTCAGGCATATTAGATAGGTAGTTTAGGATTGACAGATATAGTTAGATGAGGCTCAGAGAGGGTGACATTAACTAAATATTTAATTGGGTATATGATTTTAAAAGCTAGAATTCGGTCCTCAATGGAAGCTTGTGATATGTTCCATGTTATACTTATCTTGAATAAAGTGTTAGGCAGTTGTTCTGTTGGTTGACATTGTCCTTGTGTGGGTTTGGCATAGTGATACTTTTATTATTTCAATATTGACGTTCGAAGCAGAGATGGAGTAGGGAGGCATGTATATAGCCTTCGAAGTAGGAGTATACTTCGATAGCCCAGGGAGCGGGGCAATTGGCTTTTTTTATCTTTTCTTTTTCTTTTATTGTGAATTGTCTAATCTTCTTTACCTCAGACTCCATCTCTATCCCCATCTCGTTCTCCAAATCTAAACTCTAACTTCCTCCAAGAAAGTTGATTATTTGATTCTCTGGCCCAAGCAGAGAGTACGTCGTAGTGGTGAGTTATTTTCCTGGTGCATGCATAATTTGTTTTTCTTCTGCCATGAGGCACGAAGAGAGTCCACTTGGAAGGGTTCTAGAATTCCAGATGATCCTTGGATGTCTTCTTTCCTTTCCTTGTTACTCCTAGCTCATGTGTCGAAGCAGCTAACGGAGTAATAGTCCGGATTGGCGGGGCGGCTATGGGGTAGTGGAATTAACCAATGTTAGGCAACATGCATCCGAGGTGGTGTGGAGACCCAGGGGGCTGGGAGTGACGCCGTCCGTGAGGACCCAGCCCTCTTTTCGAGGCTCGTGATAGGTGTAGTTATGGAGTAGCTAGCTTTCAGGAGCGATGAACTGATGGTGTGTGAGTGGCTGGGCGGACGATTAGCGATTAAGATTCGATGGTAAGAGATGCTTTGATGGCGTAGGCGGCAATCGCACTGATATGAACAGTGACAAAACTCTAGACATTCTCCTAAGAATTGAGGCATGATTAAGTATGAAAAGCGGAACCTGAAATGAGAAGGTAAAATGTCCCTTGTCGGGACAAGGTAGAATCCAAACAGGTGTGATTTTTTTTTTTTTTTTTTTTTTTTT